TAAAAATAAATAAATCATTATGATGGGAACTGCACTTAGCATATTAACATATTATTTTTAATCAGTTTATCGGCAGATTATTCAACAAGCTGCAACTACCCCCAAACAGATCCTAAATATTTTATGAATTTCATCCTTAAATCTTAGATGAATATGTTGCAAGGCACAACATTTTTTATCACCCATGTCTTATCTATTTAGATATCAAACACTTGAACTTTAATATTTATATTTATTCCACCCAAAACATTCATATCATATAAGAAATAGCACAGCATTTAAACTCCTATAAGGTAAAATACATCTTTCAATGCTCAGGAAAGGTGGCACATATATAAAAATTGAGGTGTAGATGTAAGATACATAACCTAAAAATTGAGTGTTACGTATTTAAATCTTCCAAATTTGCAAAACAAACTTTGACTAGTGTATCCAAAATAGAAAATTTCTCAAATCCCTTCTGGAGAAGCATCTTATTTTGTGATAGCCTTTCTCTCTTTATACTTAGCAATTATTATTTATTTTTATTACATGTCATTCACTTATATTGTTTAGATCTCATAATTATAATATATGGCTACTAAGTTTTCTTTAAGAGTTCAAGAGAATATATGGTTTGATATTTTCTCCAATATTAGAGAGAATTAATTATGCCCATCTAGGAGTAATCCCTTAATGTAGAAGGATTTGTTGGATTATACACACTTAATGTAGGAGAGTAGATTGAATTACACTCACTAGAAAGTAGATTGCATGATGTAATGATTATATGACATTATGGAAGGAAAATATGAGCAAAACTAAGGGTTGCAAAGGAAATAAATTGAATTAAGCTAAGCTGGAGGGTGTTCGAACTTAAGCTCATTTATTGAAAATATGCTCAACCTGAGCTTGATTAGATTATTCGCGAAAATGTTCAAGTTCATTATGTTTAATTTATTTTTATTCGAGCTTGATTTGTGCTCTCCAGCTTGAATTATTTTCTGATAAAGGAGTATTAAACAAACAGCTTGTTCAAAAATTTAAGCAAGCTTTATCAAGCCGAGACCATTTAGTTTTAAAAGCTAATTTTGTTGAGCTTGTAAGAATAATATTTTTATATAAATAGCTCAAAAATACAATATAGACATTTACCAACTTTAAATCATCCAATTGATATGAGAAAAAAATACAAAAAACAAAGATGTAATTTAAGCTTCTTGGTTAGAATACCAGCCTAGGTGCCATATATGTATGGGTGTGTCAATGCCTTTGAATTTAATGGAACATGTAAAAATTCTTGTATTCATAGTTATTATATGGTTTAGTTCATTTACTTTCTTATTTTTTTAATTTCATGTTCTAATATTTGTAGCTTGTAAATATTGATACCCTTGCTATTGTGCTATTGAGTTCATATATTTTTCTATTTGTGCTTTAATGTTCAACGATTTTACTATATGAATTTTATATATATATATATATATATATATATAATTCATATATATGCACACAAACATACATACACGTACACGTACCGTGACCTGCTGGCATAGTAGCCTCTCTGGAGGATGTAAGTTCCTTCGGGGCACGGTACCTGCACGTGTGTACACGTGCACGTAACCCGTGATCCGAAGGAACTTACAAGTGCATGTACCCGTGACCCCAAGGAACTTACATCCTCCAGAGTGGCAACTCTACCAACTGGTCACGGGTTTGAATAAAAGCACCCCCCCCCCCCCCCCCCCAACCCGGAGGGGGGGATACCAA